ACAACGTCCGTGAAGCGAGAAAAATCAACTATCAAAATAAATTTTTCTCAGCCCAAATACGACCCCCTCTCCTGGCGACCAAATACGACCCCCCTATTGGGGATTCCCCAACAACGATGTGCCCTGTAAGTAATGAATCTACTCCCTGACGAATGACGTTCCTAGCATTTTGTGGCTTAAATCATTAGAACAAGGCCAGATAAGGCACACAAGAATACTCTGTAGAAGCGGATTTCCCGCTGGTCGCGTGGGTGGAGTGGCTTGGACCACTGCGATTCGCTCATTGGTGCACTCCTCTTCTCCACCATCTCAGACAAACAGGTCCATCAGAGAAGGACGCAGCTGTCCATGTGACTCCGCCCATAGAATCAGCGTGGAATGAGCCTTTGACATTAATTCGTTCCAACGCCTCACAGCATTTAGGTTCCCATAAGGCCTGCGTCCAACGGCACACTTCCTTAGCGGAATGGTTTTAATAAAGTATTCTAAGTTACGTCTCCCATTACGAATAGCTACTTCGCCCTCGCATCCAGTAAAAGCGTTGAATCCGAGTGAACTCCATTCATTACTTTACAATTAGTGGCTCTACTCGACTCTTTTTGCACGTGCTTTTCATGGCCTGAGCTCATCAGAGTGTCCGGTCTGGCGTTCAGATGTAGTGCTGAAAGCAATTTTGCCTCACTGCTCACGAGAAAAAAGCTGAAACTGGAAAAGTTTCAGCGAGATCACAAACTGATCGATAAACTGGGGCTGGTCAACAGCGAGATAATCGTAATATAAATTTTCTAGAGCTCAGAAAAAAGATCTGAACATCCGACTTCGGTCTTCTGAAGCCTCAAGCTCCTCCAAATTATCCCAACACAATTTCCCATCGGACACGATTTTGTTACTCATTTCTAAGTTTGTTTAAGATCGCTAAAATGAATCGTAATAGCTCCCTTCTCTAAAAGAACCTCCTCTTTTGCTGGCTTCAGTCTTGCTCGTGCTCCGTCTGAGCGCAGTTAAGTGTACCAGCTCATCTGGTGCCTCTAGCTTCAAGGAGGGATGACATGAAGCTACTGGAATTGTATTTGCTCCGTTCAGAGGGTTGTTTGGCAAAATTGGAAAGCAGATTTGAGACCAGCGTCTCAAAAAAATCGGATAGGTAGGCCACGTCATGAAAAGAGCCTATCGTTGAGGATTCTCGTCCAGGAGGAAGGTTGGGGGGGGGCATCTGGCTAGTCAAGGATTTCATTTTTTTTCAGTTACATGCTTACTGCATTACTATTTACTGCCCGGTTACGTCCTTCATATGAATACCAGCAATTCTAAGGTTACTTTGTAAACTTAACTCATTCACAACTTTAAATTGAAAAACAGTGTTTCAGTGCCAAGCAGGACTAGCCACTCAACAACTTTTTGATCTACTTTATACACCTCCAACTAAATTAATGTTACTAGCCGGATGTTCGCCAGTTACAACTGTGATAGCCGAATCAGCACCTGTGTGGAAGCTTGTCGTGGTACTTTATCATTTTTTTTTGTTTTTCTCAT